TCCCATTATGACGAAATTCATAATGTAAATGGTGAATGAAGTTAACTACGCTTAAGAATCTTACATAAGTTTTATATGAAAGTAAGAATATTAGGAAATTGATAGTTTTGTCTTCGTTTCATAAGTACTCGTACATACCCCTAAAGTAGGAGCATCTTTTTAACTGTTCTTTGAAAGTAGGCAACCAGCTTCGTAGACTGTCATGATAAGTTGCCTTTGTTTCAGGCGAACTACCGTATTCTACAAACGGAGTAACAACAGTTTATCGAAGCATGGTTGAGCAGTTCGATGAGGGGCTATGCTACAAGCCGGAAGGTCGCGGGTTCAAGTCCTGATGAGGTCATAGAATTTCTTTTAGGTGACCTAATCCTTCCAGCCGCACTAGCCCCTGGGGTTTACTCAGCCTCTAACAGAAATGAGTACCAGGAATTAATTAATTTTCCTGGGGAGTAAAGCGTGGCCGGCGCGTAAGGCTGACAAATTCTTTTCTTCTGTAATGTTCGAATGCGTAAATAGGAATACTTTCTCCGCAGGTAGGTGAATGCACTCAATGCATAATTAGTTAAGTACCATGATATTGTTTCTTCATTTGGTGCTACAGCCCTAATTTGGGCCTTAGCCTAACTCCGCGAAACTCTCCGTTTCACTTCGGTTTACTAGATCTTAGACATTCGGTAGGACTCCTTGGGCGGGTGATCAGCTCGTTGCAAGGCCTCTACCTGTACAGAAACACACGAACACTGAACATCCATGCCCTGAGTGGCATTCGAACCCACGATCCCGGCTTCCGAGCGAGCGAAGGCAGTACATACCTTAGACCGCTCGGCTACCGTGACCGGCGAAATGACGTATAGTGGAGCGGAACTCTTCATATTTTTTGGTACTGGATGCAGAGATATTTCATTCTCGTCCAGACCGCATTGGCCCCTGATGAAAGGCCTCGTGGTACTTAATGAAGAGGAAGCTGAACGGGTTGCAGAGTCGCTCTGCACACAGTGGCAAAGAGGCAGATCTCTGCTACCACCGAGAATCGAACCTAGATTCTGGGGGTCTTCAACCTGTAATCTGGCCACAGTACTGACAAAAGTGTCTAGCTCACTTTCTTAACAAATGAGATTACTTTCCTGAGCGAAAATTTGACGAGTTTGATATTTATTTGACATTTAAAAGTTAATTAACATTGGAATAACACAAATAGGACAATTAAGTTCATAAACATCTCATTGTCTTCTAAATACTTTTATGTTAAAATACCATTTAGCGCCTATTTAGTGTAATTTAATATTAGAAGTCAGCAAAAATGCTTCTGAGGATCAATTAATTAGCACATATTAATGAGATTTGAGAATTATTGAGGTTAATTGAGGAGGTAAAATGAGTAGGAATCAATGGAGGGCGTCTCTGATTATTGGTCATCAATAAAAGTAATTTATTATGGATTAGAAATTTTTCTTCCTTTTCCGGGAGTTTTGAAATGTAGTTTCATTTTAAATCAGAATATCCTTCATCCGAAATGAGTGAGACAGCATAGGACGCGAAAAGAGCTGCATGCAGTTATGTGAGAATAAGTAAAAAAAGTAAAGCTATCCCTGTAACAGGCCGTGAAGGCCCATAGGGTTGTGAGACGTTGAGGTTCCCACATTATCTAGACAATCGGCTCAAAGATGGCGGTAAGATTGTCAGCCTTACGCCCCGACCGCCCTTTACTACCCAAGAAAATTATTTAATTAATTCCCGGTACTCGTTTCTGTTAGAGGCTGAGTAAACCCCAGGGCGTAGTGCGGCTGGAAGGATTAGGTCAACTGAAAAAATCCAGTAACCTCATCAGGATTTGAACCCGCGACCTTCCGGCTTGTAGCATAGCCCCTCAACCACCCATGTGAGAATACGAGTAAACATGGGACGTTCCTTAGATTGAAAAATGTGAAGACGGATTGACCCTAATTTGGAGGACATCGGAACAAGATTCTGAGAAGTTTCCTTCATCTCGAACGTGTTACCTGTTAACATTGCAGGTGACAGCCGTCGAGGTCATCTAGAGACGTGCGGAGAATTGCTATCAATACATTGGAAGCGAGATGAGGTAATCATTGAGATACAGTCTTATTATAGGTCAGAATATTTGGGCCTGAAAAAGTTAATGTAACTGTTGAATTGTGGGTTATTCTATAAGAGTTAACTTCTCATTTTTAGATGTATTAGTTAGTTACTTATTGGAGAGGGTGGGTTTCCCCATGCACTTAGACCTGTATTGGTCCACTGTGCTTCCCTCTATGATTTCTACCAGTCTCTATATCCTACCGGTACTGGTGCTTACCATCAGTCCCGCCCAGCCAGCGAGACCGGCTCTAGTAGCTGAGAGGTATCTATAATGCTTCCCCCATGTACCAGAGGTATTAGAGACTGCTGTTGGGCGGGAAACGTCCGTAATTTGGCTCAGTGAACTCCTTTGGAGATATGAGGTTCTTTTACGTGCCGTAAAGCTACGACACGGGACCCACGGCTTAAAGTCCCTCCCGGAGGACTTGTTCCCTGAATTTTTCCGCCCTTAAAAATTCGACGACCTCCGCCGGGTATTTGAACCCGCGTACTACGAGTCATGAGGTGGAACGTTACCTCTAGACCACGGAGGCCGCTTTTAGATGTATTACTAGGGTAGTAAATTTTATGGCAGGCCGCACTGGTTTCCCACCGCGGCGGCCCGGGTTCAATCCCGGGTCTGGTCAAGTGGGATTTGTGGTGGAGAAAGTGGCGCTGCGGCAGGCTTTCTCCGAGTACTTCGGTTTCCCCTACCAATCTTCATTCCACCAATTGCTCCACGATCACCCTCACCTATCATCTGGGGCTGGTACAATAGGCTAGAAGTTGCCGCAGTACAAGAGACGTAGTCCCACCCCACTAGCAATAAAAAAAAAGTTTTAGGGCATTCTGGTAGGCATGGGGAGACGAGGAAGTCTGATGGGAGTTCTCTTGATAATGTCAACTTGGAAGACAATGAAATAATAAGATTAAGAGGGATCATAGGAAGATTGTTTGTGAGGAACGTAGATGGATGGAACTGGCTCAGGATCGTGTCCAATTGTGAGATCTGTTGGTAGCTGTAGAACACTGTAATGAACTTGCCGATTCCAGAAAATGTTTGGAAGGTTTTGAGTGGCTGAGCGACTGGTGGCTTCTCAAGAAGGGCTCAGCACCATGGCATTAATTAATTAGTTGTTAGCGATATGGATCTTCAGGTTCTGATACAAGAGGATTATTTAATCACTTAAAAAATGAATCACGAATGTTAGGATTTGGGAGTATGTCCTAAGAGCGGAAAGTTTTTGAACAAGAGCCTAATATTGGGTTTAAGGTTCTCACCGCGGTGACTGTCAAGAGTGATGTGACACCATGTAGTCTGGTAGAAGTATTGGCGTATCGGAGGAATATACTACCTCCACTTTCTGCGTCGAAATGTAAGCAAACCGAGCAGCACGTGTAGCTGTTCTTGTTCCCTACTTCTCGGTGGTTGTTGGTTTGGTTTACTCTTTGACCCTTGAGACGGAAAGAATAGCTTCATCCGAAATGTCGGTAAACTTCTACCAGACTAAACGGTGACACATCCTAGAAGACCATACTCTATAAATGATTAATGACTTCTAAATTGTGCAATTGTACTGTATGCTGGACTCAATCAGAATCTGCAGATACTTTTTAAAACTTTTAAATGACCTGTGCAGAATGTCGGCTCATTGTATTTACACGCCTCCATTCGAAACTATGGAACTTTTTGTTACCAGACATTATTTACAGGAAGCGTACAATAGCCCACGTATCGAGAGACAGACTAATTGCCCTTCGACTATGGAGAGCATATTGGAAATCATTTTGATATAGCCCTAACCGTAAATTTTCATTTGCAGTACTTTGCATTGTGGAAGTCAGCTATGCATATAGTGAATACAGACAGTCGAAAAGGGGCGATACTGCAGTGGATGGTTAGATGGAGAGCTAATATCTCATCGCCAAAGATCGTGATATTACAAAATGTTATGCAGAGTGTAGGACTGGAGGGATTCTGTGACATGTTTTAAATGCTGGAATAGCATGTACAGGTGAGCTGAGAAACTTCGAGAAGAACATGGAAGGAAGAAACAAGACAAGACTGTAAATGAAAGGATAACATTTTAATTGAACTTAAGGAAGCAGGGTGTGGACTGGTTTCGTCTGTTCAGAATGGAGTCCGGTGAACGGTCATTTTATCCTGGTATTAAATTTTCCGGTTGCATAAAAGTTGAGTGACTTCCTCACTAGATGGACGACCGTGAGCTTCTCGATATATAATAAAATAAATCAATAATTTTGTACCGAACTGTAGCTCTGTATTTAGTGGGTCGTGACCAAAGGTGGCCGTGTCTTTATGACGCTTCATGTAGGCCCGACCCCTCTTATCAGCAGATGCTTGCTCTGTTTGCTCTTCCTGTTGCCACGGTTACTCTCTGATAACTACCTCGAAAAAACGACTTAATATCCGTCACATAGGTAACTAAGGTTCAATGTGAATAGTGCTTAACTTGGAAATTAGTCCTTATTGCTTTACGTTTGTGTTCATATAACCTCCCGCTACGGTGCTATAAGACTAATACGTCACGTAGGGATAGGCTGTTTTAATGTTACGTAAATTACTTTTTTCATTAGATCGTGCGATGTTTTAAGTGTTCACAGTGGCGTTAGAAACGTGATAATAGATATGAAAAAGAACCTTATGAATATAACTATACAGTTCAATCTCTGATTATAACTTCGATTACCTTCGTGAAGGAAATTAAGTTTGGATCAAACCAAGATGGCTGCCGCGTCTGGGTGTGTTAAATGGCGGTGAATCATTCCTGAGAAAAAAAAATATGCTTCAATTCCGAAGTCACAGTTTGCTGTTGCAGAAGAAGATCGACTCGCCCTACATTTAGTGTATCCAAACACCGTTCAGGTTTCCGACACTGACTGGAAGACACTGCGCCAAGTTACACGCGTCCAACTGCTGCAGATCGCCAGGAAACGCCCGTGAGTTACTCTCTGTTTCTGGTTTTACGAAAACATTAGCGTGTTTACGTCTATTTTGTGAAAATGCTATTCTAAAAGTTTACACTTATGTAGTAAACGGCTTTTGTTATGACAGAAAATAGATAATGTGTATCACGACGTTATCACCGTATTCTAAACAACTCTTCAGATTGCACGCAAGTTGACGATAAAGTCCCAGAAATCTTCACATCATGGCAGCGCTCATACAGAAATATCCTAGAGGAGAGTTTCACGTCTTTATGTCTCTGTACATAGACACCTGATGCTCCTTTGTCACAGATGCAATCTATCATAGAAAAAACTAATTGGTAAAAGAGATATTGCAATGCACAGGGCATAATTTTATTGTCATAAATTCATGTATGTACGCTTCTGAAATGAGGACCACTTAATATACATTCATAACGTAATATATTTTGCATAATGAATCAAGTTTTTTTATGGAACACACTTCTCTTTTTGAATTTAGTATAACTCGAGGTAAGTAGCATGTGAAATAGAAAATATTATAAAATAGATTGCATGAAAATTAAGTTCTCCCAACAAATTTAAGTGTGCTTCTCTTACACGAAATACATCTGAATTTCGATAAGTTTTTGAGTGTAGGAACATATTCTCAATAGGTCGATATACATGATCCCTTTATGCAGTCAGTGAAATGAGACATACATACATATATTATATACATTCAAATTTATTCACCATCATCTTCATCATGGGCCATTGCAGACCTGTTGCACGTACAAGAATTTATAAAATTGTGTTCACTTCGTTAGACAGACGAGAGAGTGCATTTGTTTCCTAAACTTTCTTTCATTCTGGCAACAATTCATCACAAATTTCTTTCCCCAGACACTACATATAATGTGGCTCTAAAGTAGAAATATTTGTAATACATGAGCTAGAAATTATTTAATTTTATTTAAGAATAATATTTCATAACGTTTTTTAGCATAGACTTAATAAAGTATTTAGTTTTCAAACGAGATGCTCATATAAACGTTTATGTAATTTATTACCGATTTTATTACATTCTAAAACTAGTATTAACTATCAGTGATCTTCAATAGAGATTTAAAATATCAGTTCAAAAAGAAAATGTTATTTTCGTGTTTGTAATTAAAGGGCACGATATGAATGTGACATAAGTTTAAATAACGATGCACATATATCATGCTAACATTAAATAACTATTTTTGACATGTGGTACATTAGGATTATGAAGATAATTTAAATACAGAATCTACACTTCACTTGATAAATATGTTCCTCACATTTCCGCATTCTGATCACATTCATATGAATATGTAAAGGACCTAAAATGTTCACTTACCGAATGCTTGCTATATAAAGGAAAAGGGTTGATGTTAAGTGACATTACATACATACGAGTGCAATGTCTGTAGTTGATATGAACGTCTTATGGAAGAACAGATTTCAGTCAAATACAACTCTTAATGTAAATCAATTAAAAGGTAGTTAAAAGGTCACATGTTTCGAAGATTTTGATTCGCCATGATCAGAACTTTATATTTGAAACGTGGAGAGGAAATTTTATGAATAAAGCAGTCTTCTGGGATTTGGCACCGTGTATATGTGGTGTTAACCGACGTTTCGGAGGAACGTATCGCCTCCATTTTCAGGGTAGAAGAAAAAATATAAGAAATCTGCAAGCGAANTAATTTAATACACATTCAATTAATACAAAGGGAATGCAACCACCCACCTTTAAATAAGCATCTCTTATAACAAATCCTCGAATCCGCACCCCCAAAAATGCCTTTTTGGTTTGCATCTTAGAATATATTGTTTTGTGAGCGATTTTATGTATTATATAATGTGTGAATGTATTTAAATCTGCACGCCTACAATAGGCTTATTACTGCGAAATTTGAAAGTAAGAAAATAAACATGTAAAAAAAAATAAGAAAATAAGCTACCTAGATCCTAAGCACACAATTGCGACAACAGTTCGATTCGATATTTTACGGAAGTACATTAAAATATTTAGAGGCTTCAGAACTCAAATATTTTACAGTTTCGTGATTTACACTTGTGCTGGCTCTTCGTATTTCTATGATTTTAACCCAAAAAATCATAGAATTTTTTTCGATAATTATCGTTAATAGAATTACCTACAGGAGGAAATCTTATTATTCTGAGCGTGCAATTCTAAAAGTTATGACTGCACTTAATTTATAGAAGTTTATTTCAAATTTTTCTACAACTAATAATATTATTGTTAACAACACTGAAAATAAATCTTAGACACACTGCAAGTTTGCAAAATAATAATAATTTCTGTGTTCTATATAGATTCGAATGTTGGAGGTTAATTAATTAATTCGCTTAGTGGGGGATGGAGTCCAACTGGGCCCACCCGGCACGGCGGCCACTGAGTGGCCTATTGTAGCCTGCCTCCGGGTGATTATGATGATGGAGAATTTGGTTGAATGAAGATTAATAGGGGAAACCGAAATACTCAGAGAAAACCCGCCCCAGCGCCACTTCGTCCACCACAAATCCCACTTGACCAGACCCGGGATCGAACCCGGGCCGCCGCGGTGGGACGCCAGCGACTAACCGCTTCAGCTATGGCGCGGCCATGTTTGACGTTAATGAAATAATAAATGCAAAGCAAAGGAGGCAACTGAAACGAGCTTCCTTGGAGTATTCGTAGGATACAGAATGACGGATTACAAATGCAATAAAGTTACGCCTATTAGAGGAAACCGGGAGTAACAGCGATGCAATTTATTAAAAATTGGCTTGGACATGTGGAAAGAACTTGAGGTTCTCATAGCGGAGATTATGAGGGGTTGTTTTTCTGGGATATGACGACGAGTAGCCCGTTGAAATCAACGGATATTTCGGAGGAACGTGTCGCTTCCATCTTTAGGGTCGAGCTCTGCTTGCTGCCTGCTTCATTCGGATGTTTGTCTGGCTTTTTTTCGACACTGAGGATGGAGACGAAATGTTCCTCTGAAACGCCAGTGAACTTTCAGTGAACATTAAATCCCAGAAGATAGAACTCTTCACTTTTGAAAGAATGCCTGGAAGGTGAACCCCGAAGCTGCTCCATTAATATGCATCGGAAAGAGGAAGACAAGAGGGATCGTCCAGAAGAAAGACGAAAAAACAATTTTTGTCCTTGCAAATCGAAAAAGCCTAGAGCCTGTTCTGTGATATTTATGACTATATTATTATTATTATAACATTCGATATCGTTGCTTATTCTCGACGTCCTCATAATAATAATCACATTCATCATATATACTAATTATTGCAGACTTCCTGAGAATCACAATTCAGTGAAACATAGCTATAACATTTTCCTGCGAAAGAAAAGACTTGTAGAGACGGTTGCTGTGTATTAGAATGCTTAATATGAGTTACAATACTGTACTCGAGCGTCAGCAAACAAAGCTAGTATCAAGCCACATCTGTCTCGACCGTAAGCTTGTTCAAACATCACCAGCAGCGGGAGAACTATTGTGCAACTCGGTGTGTTACCATCAGAAAACAAGGAAATTTCCAGTCGTTCTCGTACCTCACAATTTACGCTGTAGCTTCTTCGGGATTTTAACGTGTCGTTTCTCAAAATAGAAGAAGAAATATACTTGGGATACGTATTAAATTATATTGCACATTGCACGGTAGAAATAGGAGCGCGGAGAGAAGGCAAATTCTGACACTTCTTAAAGAATGACAGACATGAAGCAGATTTTGGCTGTGTTGAAAAGGATAGTGTAAGATCCTCTAACACACGTTTATATGCTAGTGGCGGTTCATACTCTTGTGTACAGTTATCAGGTCGAGAAGATTCAAAACGTTCTTGCCCCCCCCCCAAACATTGATCGATCTTGACCAGATTGCACCACCATTACACGCGATTTGCTCGTATTTTTAATTTAACGTATATTCGCACCTTGTCAACAGAGTCGTTGAAATTGCGGCTCAAAAATTTTCCAGGCCTTCGACCCGGCGAGCCTCTGCTGAAAATCGCCATTGTGTCCTGGGCTGCACAAAGAAGCACAAATCCCTACATTCAGAGGGATACCTCATCAGCTCCTCTTAAGATACTGCAAGTAGATGTATATATTTAACGTATCGTATTCACGATTAACCAAAGTCCTCTGCTTATTATTCTTCCTTGTTTTTTTGATTGCTTATAACCAGTTAGGTGTAAAAATTTAATCATTACCTAATACTGCGGAGATTGGTTTCCTTCGTGATCTTGGGATCAAGTCGTGATCTGACACAGTCACCTCGTGAAACTACAGAACTCTTATATATTGCACATCAATATAGCCTATTCCTTTAAACAGAAATTCTGTCTCTATTTGTTTTCAACTATCACGAATTGTCTCGCCACGGCGAGATTTTTAAACTCCATAACCACTCATTTTCAGAATCACAAAACGCACAATGATTGTCACTTGTTTTATAACAGCTGCATTCACTTTGCGACATCTTGAATGGATGTAGTCCGACAGAAGTAACCATGTACCAGCAAGCTAAGCTCGAAGCGATACACTGATCTAATATACGAAACATGGTACCGCATATCTTGTTGAACAAGAGCTGTAAAACAGAGATATTGCCGTCGGCAGATCTGTAGCCAAAGCTAGCACCTTATCTTTGTCCATATGCTGCTGCTGGCACAATCTTTGGGCCTTCTATCTCTCCAACACGCACGCACACATACACACTTAAACTGAAACTGATTACTTCCGAGGGTAACATATCGTTGTATTACACCCTATACACAAACTAAGTGTTTATTGGAGTGGGGAGAGGGCTTAAATCACACTTAGTCTCGTGATGATAATAGTTCAGGAATGATAATAATGTTTATCCGAGTTCTAACTCCCATCTCCAGACACTACCGAGGTTATCAAGCCGCAGAACATATCCGCTCAAAACTGAAGAAAATTAGCAACTTCAGATTCGAGTAATTGGTCTGTGTAAGCATTTGA